ACTGAGGCTGCACTCATTTCCTGTTTGCTCCTCAGGGGGCCTGGTGGGCAGAGAATAGCCACAGCGCGGTGCACTCCCCCCGCGTTCCTGAGCCCCCCCCACCCATGGATCCTGGGGAGCAGAGAACAGAAACAGCAGGGTGCTTTGGCCACACCCCCAATCGGCCCCCTATGGGCCCTGGTGGACAGAGAATAACCACAGCGCAGGGTGCTCCAGCTACGCCCCAACCCATGCCCTACACTGGGAGCTGGGCTCTTACACCAGCTCCACATGGGCCAGTAATGGGGGGGATCCCGGAGGGCTATTTCTATCCAGTGCACTCTGCTTGGGGCCTGAGCGGGACCCCCTAAATTAAAGTGCCAAAGGGACCCACGGATCATCCAGCTGCCTAGCCCCTGTCCGAGAACAGCTTCCAGCGCAGGAAATGGTGTTTCTCTCTTTTCCTTTGGCTCCGGTTCTAAGCTGGGAGTAGCGCTAGGGGATGCTACAGGGAATTTCCCCCCTTGCTTTTCAGGTGCGTGTTACTTACCCAGGAGAGTGTCAGGAAGGGGGGGTACGCGGAGGGTCATTTCTGTGTCTGGGACTCAGGGTGGCGATTGCTTCCCCACCCAAACCAAGATGGGAGAGCTCTGGTCACCCCACCCGCCCTGCCCCCAGCTCCTTCCCCACCTTACCTAGAGATGGAGTTTTCTGACGTGATGTCTTTTGGGGTCCTGACTGCTGTGAAGTTGCGCTTTGGCTGTGACACTGCGAGAGAAGGGAGAACGCCGTCGCTTTAAATGGAGTACTGTACCCGGGGGCAACCGACGCCCTCTAACAAACCCAGGTGGAATGACAGTGCGACAAACCCAGGAGGGGGCACAGGCCTCGTGGTTAAGGTGCTCGCCTGGGAGGAGGGCAGTGTGTGTTGGGGGAACGGCGCTGGCAGAATGAGGGGAGCGTGGAGCAGGGGTTGGAGCACGACCTGCTACGCCACAGACTCCCCGTGTGACGTTGAGCAAGTCCGTGCCTCAGTTTCCCCATCTGTGCAAGGGGGCTAAATAGCCCTGCCTCCCAGGGACGATGTGAAGCTGAACACATCCTAACGATTGTGAGATGCTCGGAGAGGACAGTGCCACGGGAGGAGGTGGGGTCACATAAGCACCGAAGAGAGATTCCATGGGGCCATGACTTGGGCACAGATGGAATCGCTGGGGAAGACTGGATGTCCCCATGGCCTCACTAGTTAAGTCACCCCCCGGTGCAAGGCCAGTGGAGTCACAGGTGGGGTGGGCTTCGCCCCTGGTCCCTCCCGTCGCTGGGGGGAAGGGAAAAGCGGAGGATCCCGAGTATACCTACTAGTGACTTGGTGCACCTTCTTCACCGAACTGCTATCTCCCTGGGAGTCTTTGGGGCCGCCGATCCTGCAAGGGAGGGGCAGGGAAAAGGCAGAGAAGAGAGGCTTGTTCACGGAGGTGTGGAGCAGGCAGGACCTTACCGACGCCAGGGAGTTGCCCAGATTCCAACCACCGGTGATAGACAAGGAAGGCTGCTCGCA